GAACTATTTCATGCAAACATGTTAATTTGGAAATAAAAAAAGTATTTAAGGAAAATGGTTGTAATTTTTTGCAAGTTCTCAAAATTACACAACGTTCAATGTAGTGTAGAGATGAGTCAATCTTTTCATCGGTTTTTAAGTACTTGTTTTGAATTTTAAAGAGTGGCCTTTAAATTTTTTAAAATGTTTACGACACCCCAGTGCAGAAAAGATAATAAATTCTTAAATAAATACGAATCATTATAAGCAAAATTGTAGTGAGTTCGCGGAAGGTAAAGCGGTCTGTGTGCGACTCCGTACTAGTAGAACCATGTTTCAATAATACAGGGGCAGAGAAGTTTAAATGAAACCTATGGCCAGGTTTAATTGGAGGAGTCTAACTGAGTATACTAAGGCTTTTACTGAGGATAAATCTGCTACTTTTGTAAATAACAAACTCCCACAGTGTTATTTTAACCTTTCGGAATCCTTTTTTTATTAAGTAGCAGTGCACGTTTGCAGAACGTCCTGCTTCAAGTCGTGCTATTTAACAAGATAGGTTTTACAATATATAAATTAGTGGGCAGTGAGAACTTCATTAATTAAATGGAAAGATGAGTCTTAATTTTAGGTTCAACAAGATACGACCATCAGGTGAAACGTGCAATGACAGTACAGCCATTCAAACTCCTTAATGACGGAAAATGTCGTTATTAAAATTCCAGTATATGGTATATCCTTATTTTAAATAGAACATGCCTTTGCCTAAGCTAGTTTATTAGGTCTAGCGTCTCAGTCTTAATAAAAATCGTTTAAGTCTCTGGATTTAAGCGGTTTGGGCAACCGATAAGTACGGGATTCACCAATGTGGATACGTAAGTCTCTGCAAAACGTATCGTTCTAATTCCGTATAACCAAATCGACCACAATGTCCACTTAAGCTTTTTATGCCCTGCCAACATATTTCGACTAATATCATTTAGGTGAATGCGAAGGGCTGACGTTTTATGTAGGGGCAGAGATACATATACCCTTTAAGTAACAAAAAGCCTTTTTTCGCCGATCATATAAGTACGTCTATTTTATATGCGTACGTTAGGAGTATGCCGTTGGTTTCTTGATATCTGGAGCTCAGATTTTGAATTGGAACTTGCAGTCGCATCTTTTTTATGACAGCCGTGCTTACCTTCTCCTACCGACAAAATTACAACTGTCTTGTTTACGTATCAGCTTAAGCAGATGAGTCATACGCGCTAAGTCCGGTTTGTTGTAATTAAGGGGTCAATATTTCGATGATCACATTCGCGCAATACATGCAAAAAGCCTACGGTATGACTGCGTTTTTAGTATTTGTGTAGCATAGGCACTGTCCCATTCCTTCGAAAGTAGAAAATGTCATACAGTCCTTGTCCTCTTCGGCGGGTAAAATTACAATTCATGGGGAAAATGAATCAAATTTAATAATACGACGAAAAGGTCCACAACCAGGAAAACATTATAAATGTACTTCACTTTTTTGTGCGGCAAAGTTAAGCCAACAAAAGCCGTACATTTTAATTGGCTTTTCCTTGGAATATTTTTAAATTTAAGGCAAGACTCGACATGTCATTTTACTTCTGACTCTTCTATACATCCTTGATTCATGTTTTTTCTGCAAACATCTAGGGAATTTAGAAACCGTCAAACCCCTTACAGAGGTGGTTGTTGCATCCTGATACGTACCTCCTCTAAGTCAAATTATTCTAAACGGAATTTTTTGGCCTGACGGACAAAAATGGACATAGCATATGCCAGTTTGGGGCCATAGTTTTATTTCCGTCTCTTCAACCGCGCAAGTGCTGTATCTCGATGACTTCCAATAAGGCCCATGATGTTGTCTTATTTTGAAAAAAATTGCTTTTAATAGGAGCTTAAATCTATCTGTTTTCCTTTTCCATAGCTTGCTTGCAGTCAAACTCATCTACTGTACCTTGTTAAAAACCAATAAATTTCCTTGCTGGCTTTTTGTGAAACGTGTTACTTATTTGAAGTCCCAACGCAGTTATTGTCTTATGACGATTAAATTATTTTATCGTCCTCACTAGTTTGGACAAAAATAACAGCAGACCTTGACAACGTAATTACTGTCCTTTTTGGAACTTTTTTTATTATATAATTTTCTCACATTAATGGCTATGGTACTACCCCATAAACACAGCCCGAGTACAAAACTCCTAACTACGCGTTTGTCTTCTTATATTCTCCCATATTTATGGATAGTACTCTCTTGCCGTGGGATGACAACCAATAACCCCTCAGATCTAGCCGATTTACTATGTATTAAACAACGGAATTTCCAACATGCACGGTGTTAACCGTTATAAATTACTTAGTTCTGACACGGGTTAATTTGTACGCCTACGATCTTTGATTTTTGTTTTAGCTTAATGGGGATCCTACAGAGGTTTTTACTTTCCTAAAGGAGAAATAAAACCCAATATTTTAACGGATATTCATCCTATACACTATCACCTGCTTTCTGCTCCTTTGGTTCTGAAATATTTTTGCGGCTAAGCTCTCATTGTTTGGAATCTATGGTAGCTATTCATGTGTACATTTGTCGCATGAACTGTATATTCTTGAATATCTAGCATTTTTGCATAGAAACAATTTACACTACAGTCAACTAACTCCGAAGGCTTTAGCAAATAGAGACGATTCTTTCAGGGTTTCAATTTTTGATGGATAAGTAAGAAACTTTTATCAAGGTGCAGTAGAAAATGCAACTCGTTGAATACTTTATTGGTCAGTGTATTGAGAATTTCATAACATGAGTAAAAGGTGACAGCTGAACTGTAGCATTTTACTGGTATTGGTACACCAAAAACTGCAAATCTCCTAGCTGCATATGGGCCATGGCTCCGGGAGTATAGGTGAAGAAGCTAAAATCGGCAAAAAAGAGAAGTTTAGAAAGAGGGCAATTTAAAAAACATTACTTATTGCTGACCCGTTCGATTTTTCCGTTTGCTGCACTTTTGTGCATTATCTGTATGAAGATGCAGTCTATCGGTCTTATCAGTGGGATTGTTTGCCAGTTTTCAGTAGGGAATTAGCTTTTTGCTTCCTTTACCCCTTGAATAAATTTATGTACAAATGTCCTCAATCTCAACGCTTCCCGACTCCTTTTGT